ATGCAAACCAGCAGGCACGCACACACACACAGACATGGAAATCACAGCAGAATGCGGGAATTTCAACAAGGCATTCATTCCGGCGGCAAATCCCAAAAATCAGCAGTGTTCTCAGTTTGTGTTTTTGGCGGGTCATTACATTACCCCCCTCTCAAGAGCGAGGTCCCTTCGAGCGAGTAACTCATTCAGAGTTGGCACAAAATGCATCGTAGGAGTAAATAAGAAAAAGAGACTTAGTAAGTCCGTGAGGAGTCATTTTTGCAATAAATTTAGCAGTCTGTCCCTCAGCGATCTGTCGTTCATAAGCGATCACAACACGAGGAGCACTCTTCAGCAACTTTTTTCGGTCGATCCATAAGAATTCAGTCAACGGGTGATAGAGGAAGTGAACCTTGTACTGTTTGTTCCTCCCTCTTCCCTCATGAGAAACGATTCTGTCTATCTCATGGCCGCCGTCGATAGGACGAGGTATCATAGGGTCTCGGAAGGGAAACGTCTCATCATCAATATGTGGGAATAGTTTGGATGCATGAAAGACCGGATACGTGCGCAGATGAGGAGGCACGTCAATCACATATGAAGGACCAAAATCATCCCCAATCACCTTCAGAATCTGCCAGGGGCCATAGTACAATGGAAGGAGTTTTCGTGATATGCCCTCTTCATCAGAAAACTCAGACATTTTGACCCAAACATAATCCCCTACTTTGAATTTTTCTTCTTTGCGCAACTTGTTAGCATGTTTCATCATGGCATGTTGGCGCTTGTTCATGGCTGCAGTAACAGCTTTGAGCAAGCGTGCGTACTTGGCATTGTAGCCAGACATGCTTGACATCAGACCAGGTGACCGTTCGAGGAACAGATAGGAGAGGGGATTACGCATCGGCCATCCGTATTGCAACTAGTTTGGTGTCACGCCAGTTGCAGAGTGAATGGAGTTGTTATACAGTCCCTTCACTTTGTGCAACTCCTTGTCCCACGTGTTCAGATTTGGAACAATCAATGCGCGAAGTAATTGGATGACAGTCTGGTTGATCTCCTCGGCCAATCCATTGGCTTCGGGGTGTCGACCAGAAGTCTTGTTCATTTTAATGTCATAGATTTCAAAGGTGAAGTCCTTCCAATCTTTGCTAATGAATCTGGTGTCCCGATCGCTCACAATAGTTTTCGGGGTGCCAAATTGTAGAATATACTGCTGATGGAATTCTTCAATGACAAGTTCAGTCGTGGCATGGGGAGGGAAAGGAATCAAGTTCAGAAATTTGGAAAAACGGTCCACGATGACCATGAGTTGTGAATTTCCAGCCTCACTCACTTTTCCCATGTCCGTGAAGTCGATGGAAATTGACTCACCGGGTCCATCAGGAATGGGGAGGGGTCTCAACAGGCCATAAGGCTTATGGCTGTGGACCTTGGTTCTTTGACATACCTGACATTCAGCAATAAATTTCTGAGCACATCCTTTCATTCCTGGCCAATCAAACTGTTGAAAAGACTTCCATAAGTCTTCTCGAAGCCGAAATGTCCACTCCGACCATGTGCCAAATCCAAGAAATGAGTTCGGAGAGGCTCATGGTTGGGTACACACAAACGATCAAATTTCCCATACCGACGGAACACAAGACCCTCGCATTCATGTTAACCAGGCCGACTGTTAGGGTCAACCTAGAGCTGCTCAAGGATGGGACTAAGGTCCAGATCCTTGGCGGTGTGTTCGACCAGATCATCCTTCAGTTTCCTTCGGAGGTCATACGAACCCACAAGGCAAGTCAGAAATTCAGGATGGCGGGACAATGCATCAGCAACCCAGTTATAACAACCTTTCTTGTGTTTCAACTCAAAGCTATAGACATCAATGTCATGCAACCAGCGGGTCAATGTAGGAGAGATCAATTTGTGTCTGAATCCACTGCAAGGTCTGATGATCTGAGTACACCTTGAAGTGACGACCCAAGAGGTAGTGATTCCAATGTGCGAGTGCCTCGCGCAGGGCGTAGAGCTCACGCATATATGTGGAAGTAGCTACCTTGTGGCTGGGCATGTGTTTGCTGTAATACTCGAGCGGACGCAGGCCATCACCATCATCTTGTTACAACACTGCACCAATCCCAAACTGGCTCGCGTTCGTAGTGACTACGAACGTGAGGTTGGGATCCGCAATGCGGAGCACAGGATGACTCACCAATGCCTCTTTCAAGGCTTGGAACGCAGTCTCACACTTCTCACACCACGCATAGTTGACATTCTTACTGGTTAGTCTCGAGAGTGGGTGAGCAATGACATAAAAATTGGGCACAAACTTTCGGTAATATGAGGCCAAACCAAGAAAAGAACGCAGTTCGCGCACGTTCGCCGGTTGACGCCACTTTCGGATGACCTCAACCTTGGTTGCCTCCGCCTCAAGGCCGTTTGCAGACAACCGGTGCCCAAAATATAGATGACGCTGTCCCTTCCAAACTTAGATTTCTCTAAGTTGAGGTGCAGTTGCGCCTCCTTGAGGACATGCAAGACCTCCTCAAGGTGCTTGACGTGCTGTTCCATGGACTTGATGAAGATTAGGATATCGTCAAGGTACACAACCACAAACCTGTTGAGTTGGTGGCGAAGTACCTTGTCCATGAGGCACTCAAATGTGGCCGGTGCATTCGTAAGACCGAAGGGCATAACGATGAATTCGTATAGCCCATCGCGTGTTTTGAATGCAGTTTTGTGCTGGTCACTCGGATCAACTTCAATCTGGTGGTAGCCAGACTTCAGGTCAATCTTGGAGAAGACCTTGCACCCACCTGCAGCATTCAGCAGATCATCTATACGAGGCAAGGGGTATGCGTTCTTGCGGGTGATACGGTTTAGGCCACGATAATCAATGCACATCCGGAGTTTGCCTCCTTTCTTCGGCACAAACAAGACAGGTGCACCGAACTCAAACTCACTAGGCCTAATCCATCCACGGTCGATCATATCATCAATCTGCCTCCTCAACTCCTCCAACTCACCTTGTCCCATACGGTAGGCGCAGCCCTTTGGAGGAAAACTCCCTTCTATTATTTCGATTTTGTGTTTGACCGGACGCTCGGGAACTCCACGAGGTTCAGCCAGAACTTCAGGGAATCGATCTAATAGACGGCGAATGTTTGTTGGGACTTCTGGTGGAGGATCATCCTCATCAGGAGAAAGAAAATCAGAACGAGAATTTACAGCAATCACAGCAGGATTCGAAGTGCTTGGGCCAAAGTAGAGGGATTATTCACAGCAGAAGTTGATGGAATAGAAGTAGAGGTGGTAAAGGTAGAGTTACTTACCGAGGTAAAAAATGCAGCAAAAGTAGAAGGCACATGGAGAGGCTTTACAAGAGCTATATGTACATGCTCAGCTTCCTTGCGCCTGCGCACTGATTTGCAGAATTTGTTTGCACTTAGAAGAGTCACAGGAGACTCGCACGTCTCATCCAATAAGATGGTATGCTCGTTCCCCTGGGCATCAAGCACCACGAACTGATTGTCCGCCTACGTGGTCCTTAGGCAATGAGCCTTTAACCAGCCCAAGCCAATGACCGCGTCGAACGTACGATTGTCCATGACATAAAAGTTGAGCTCATGTGTGACAGTGCGGTCCTTGTCAAAGGTGACGCGCACACCTTTGACAACATGTGTAGAGGTGACAACCTCTTGGTTGCCCAGCAAGGTCTGACAAGGGCTCTGCAGTTCCACTTGCTTCATTCCCAGGCCCGCCTTACGAATCCCATTAGGAGAAAACAAATTAGTGGTTGAACCACTATCGATCAGCACGCGGATGTATCGGCGGTTCATGAGCAGTTTAAAGAAGGTTAGCTCAACTCCCTTGAACACGGCATTGCAGCTTGAGCTACAGCCAATGTTCCAGGTGAGCGTGGAAGTCAACTTCCTTAGACTCCTCCCAAGGCTCAACATATAGCACATGAATTGCAGCAGCCTTGGATTCAGCATCGTTCCGGGCTTCAAGAGTAGGCTGTTGATAAGATTCAGGCTCATCGGAGGGGCCTGCAACTGATGTTCCAACTTCCCTTGTTGTAGGGAGTGCTGATGACTCCTCTACGCACTTTGCTTGTTTCCCTCAAGTCGATAACAGTCCTGCACAGCATGCCCAGACTTTTGACAATTCAAGCATATGCGCAGTTTAGATCTTCTTTCCCATTCCTTTTGGCTGATACGGAGGGCTTCCCAAGGCTTGGTAGATGCGCCCTCCGGTTTCTAAGGGATCTTCGCATTCTTGGGGAGGTGGACAACAGTTCCCTTACCTGAACCACGGTTAGGCCCCTTGTTTGAAGCAGTCTTTTTAAACGCATTAAGTTTTTTGTCTTCGTTTACGTCACACTCGATGGCTGATGTGGAACAACCCATATCGGAGTCCGGCTCTAGATCGTCATCTGGAGAGAGATCATCCGCGTAGGACTGATCTTCAACCTCCCAATGTTCATGCAGGGCAAGCTGGTTGCTGCATCCATACCGCTTGCGTTGTGGGTTTCCACCTGCAGCGAGCGCCTTCTTCCGCCTGGCGAGGTCCTTGGCCTCTAGGTTGACTAGATCCGTCATGAGCTCTCGCCAGGAGGTATGGTCTTTGAGTGCTAACAAGGAGAGGTATTCTTTAGGGGTCACTCCCATGACTACATCCATAAAAGACACGTCAGTCATACCCAGGTCTGGAGTGGTGAACAGACCAGTCAAGTAAGCCTGCATGGAGGACCTTCATGTTTGACCCTTGAGGGTTTCAAGCTTCAGCCTAGCCTTGAGCGCAGCATGCTTGTCTTGGTACCGCGTGATGAGAAGGTCCTCAAGGGTGCGCACAGGGGTTACCTTCAGCCACTCAGTCAGGTCAATTCTTTCATAACCTGCAGCAACAGCTTGGAGCTCAATGTGATTCCGTACGGCGGGCTCAGTACTAGTGCCCATGATCATGCTTCGGTCTTCTTGCGGTGTCCGCATGACCTCGAAGTATGAACGCATGGAACTAATCCAAGAGGTGATATCCGCTTTCCCGTCGTACTTGGACGGCAAGCTGGCCGCCCGCTTGTCCACTACGGGACCGCTGTACTGAACGCCAGTAAGGACTGTGGTGTTTTGGGCTGATGCCCCTGCATTTGGGACTATGACTAGTGCAGAACTGCCGGCGCTGCCGCTCGAGGAGCTGGCACCGGTTTTTGCGCTCGTCACGGTTCCACTTGCTCTTGCCACGAGGACTGTGTTAGATTGAGAGACTGGGACTGCAGCAGGTCCAGGGTTAGAAGGGCGGGGGGCAGACATTTGGGACTGTTTGAGGCTGAGTATCTCAGCCTGCAACTCTTGGTTTCGCTGCTCTAGTGCTGTCACACGCGACTCAAGGTCTTCCAAGGTCCGCAGTAGAACCAAGGCTGCTACGGCAGCAGCTAGTCCCTCCTGAAACCAGTCAGCATTGGCTTCCGGGATCCGAAGGAGGGCCACCTGATCAGCAATGTTGGCGGCTCTGGCTGCTGCCTCTGCCTCCCTTTCCCTCTGCACGGCATCATCATAAAGCTTTTGGAAGAACGGTTTCTCGTTCTCATCTGCTGCGTCCAGCATGGCCTGCCATTAAGCAGATGTGATGTTCGCCATGCCGGAGGAAGCGATGTTAGCAGTTCTCTCAAGAGGGGTTCTCTCTCTCCTCACGTTTGGACGAACACTCCTCTTGCCCTTCCTTAAACTCTAAAACAGAACACCTTCTCTCTCCCTTCTCTCTCTTCCCGCTGTCTGCGCACGTGTCTCAATACCGGACATAGATAGTTCAGATGGAAGAAACAAGCAGAAAATCACATAGAGAAGAAGGTAGGACTCCTAGCTGGGAGCGGCGATTCATTTGGACTCAGAGAATGGCACGCAGCAGAATAAAAGAATAAATAAATAAATAAATAAAAATAAAACAGAAGAGAGGGCTGACTTATAGAATGGGCCCGATCAGCTTAGCTGGAGATCCCCTCTTGTCTAACCTGAGAGGGGACATGTATCACAATAAATCAGCCGAAGAAAACTAGCTGCAGCAATGGAGATTTCGAGGGGTGCAGACGGTCGCCGAGCCAGACGCGGGGCAGTATGTGATAACAGGCAGTAAGACCAGTCAAGATCCCCTTGAAAGGAATGCCCTTGCTAACCGTATGTCCCCCAAGTTCAGCGCAGCAAAGAGATGCACAGGCGGCAACAGATTTGGGCCCGAAAGGTCCTGTCCCGTTGGGCCTGGTCCCACTGGGTCCCGAGGGGTCCCAAGCAGGTCGTGGACCAGGACCAACGTGATAGGGGTACCACGTCAGTCCCAAACTGCCTCTACCGTACTGAAAAGGAAAAGACAACTTTTAGCAAGAACTTACCCCTACAGCCATTCAGAAATGAAAAGACATTGCACCGTAGAAAGATATTTCATTTAGAACAGATACATCATCCATCCATCCATCAGGTGAGAAAGCAATCCACATGCTCACACACACAGCCAAGACCGCAGAGAAGAGGAAGAGAGCCCAGCACACCCCCAACAGGCCATGAAGCACCAAGCAACCTCCCACGGGCTAGCCCGGTCACACGGCACTTACCTGTGAGGTCCGGCCTCCAAAGATGGATAACGACTCACCCCCCTCTCTCATAAGTCCTCCTGACCCCTAGCTACCACTACACGAAGTGTTCTAGCATGACTAAGAGGGCCTTCCTACACCCCTGTTGCAAAGCCGGATCCCCCGTCGATGTCTGAAGACCAAAGTACCAACTTGCAGCAATYCGATGCAGATATGGCAGCCTCCGATCAAGTCTCCCTCTTGAGGGGAAGCCCAAAAGTCACTCAATGTCTTCTTGAAGTGCAGATTCCAGGTGCGAGCACCTCTCACTCTCTACTCCCTCTCGCTTACTCCAATCAGCCTCCTTTGTGTCTCACCACCCCATCCATTCACTCAAGCAACCTGGTCAGGTCAAATGTCGACCCTACATGACCTAACCAGGTGGGGCCAGTATCCACATACCTCACTGCCCCACTTAACCCTAACTTCCAACCCTAATCCGAGATTAGGCTAGCCCTAACCTAACTCGAAATTAGGGTTAGGGTGACTAACACCTCTCGCCAGCAAGTACGTCCGCTCTGATACCAATTGTTACGATCCTGGTCATTTCCCAAGTGCAAATTCACAATGAAAGACAATGCCACCCAATTGTGAAAGAAATGAAAGCACTTGCAAAGAGATAAAGACCAGAGGAG